GTAGTAGTAGTAGTAGTAACAGTAGAAGTAGTAGTCGTAGAGGTCGTCGGAGCTTATCCTGGGAGTTTACAGTTGAAGTCTTGCAAACATACCATACCTACTTCGCACAAGTGGCTGCGGTAGCCCGAGCAGCACACTGCCCTGGGGCAAGTGCAACGTCCAGGACTACTCCGCAGAAGTGCTCGCCCAAGTGCCCATCCAGGGCTGGCAGGCCCTCTTTGCTTCCAGACTATATATATATATATAATATAATAATATAATATTATATATATATATATATTATATTATATATATATAGTATATTATATATACTCTCTCTCTCTCTATATATATATATATATATCAGGAAGTCTTAGAGGCGGAGCGTGTGACAGGCCGAACTGCTCAATTCCAAGATTGGCCCGCCCCTCAATTTGCTGCCTTCTCCCGTGGACGTCTCTTGTCAGCTTCAGATTGCAGCTCACTGAGGGTATGATGCGCCAAGTTGGGCCATCGCCCTGGTGTAGACCTCAGCTTAAAGACTGAATCGCTGGATCTCCGGTTGCTTTGCTTGCAAGACACGTCCCGCTAAGAGAGGCCTCCGTCGCAGATGCCAAGATCGACGTCAACTTCAATGAGGCTCAGGCTGGCGAAAGAGCTGGCTTGTTGCTGTCGAGGAGGCTGCAGGAGGATCCAGGATCTGGAGCATCCCGGAGCTATGTCCCAAGTCATAGTGGTTTTGCTACGATGGACGGCTTTAAGCAGAACTGCGAGCTTCCGTCGCGATCGGCAGAAGACGTCTGGCCGGTTGAGAGTGAGATGTGACCAGGCAACAGTCGAAGCGACCACTGCAATGGCGTTCTGGCCTCAGAAAGACTCGCAGCTATTGGTGCTGTCACATGGAGCCAGAGTCTCGAGCTCTCAGCAAGGAGCTTGTGTCTCATGCGTTGATGCCCCATGTCAGTGCATGGGGACATGACTGCACACAGCGTGCTGCGGCTGATGTGTAGCAGACTTCCCAGCACAATCCGCAGCCCAGACGAGGCGCCGTCGAGCCGAGTTCGTGATCACCAAGTTCTTGGAGTCCCGGGAGTCTGGAGGCTTCGGCTCGGGTCGGCCCTGGCTCCGGATATCAGTCGGATTTGTGCAGGGATCATGGTGGACGGGACCCGTCGCCACAGCTTCATGAACCTTGGCAAGCAGGTGTCACATCAAGCCAGCCGTCCAAGCCCCGCTGCCGAGGACACTCTTGAAGTGGAGACCAATGCCGTCGGACCGATGATAGCGAACACCGAATGCAGCCCAAGTCCACACACTCCCGTCCTGCCGCCTTTTAATGAATGACAATGCTCGGCGCTCTGCATGAATGTGTTGGCTCTTCAGAGTACATGGATACATGGTGTTCCCCCCTACCCTTCGAGCGAGGACTGAAGTCTACTGACCAACTAGCTGCTGACAGGACAAGGATTTGTTCCAGAATCTGACGATAAGCGAGGAGGCCATTTTGGATGTAGTCTGTGCTAGTGATGGCTAGCTTGCTCAACAAACATGGGGATTTGCTGCTGGGTTGCGATGGGCTTCCAGGTGCTGGTTGTTCCAGCTCGAGTCCCTTCTGACCAGGCAGGGTGCTCTGTAAGCTGTCAACCCTGAAACGCTGTGTTTGCTTGCTTCCAGCCTGGCAGGAGGAGGCAGCATCCATGAGCAAAGGAGCCTTGGTGGAGGCGATCAAAAGAGGGAGCGCTGCATTTCGCAAGGTTTCCACTGACCCCTGGAACAGGTCAGGGCAAACGACCGGGCGGACTGGCAGCCTGCCATCCTCATGCAGGAGAATGTACAAGGTGCATATAGAAAGGAATATAAGCATATATTGCAATAAGCTAAATTTGAACCTACTATACAAGGTGCCCACGTGCTCGCTGTGAGGCCGCGTCTGGGTACTTCCAGTCCAGGCACACCAGCAATTGGAGGCGGCACAGAGCTTGCAGAAAGGTACTCTTAGCATAACCACCCCTAAACCCTAAACCCTAAACGACCGAGACTTGGCAAAAAGTTGAAGGTCGAGATAGGCAACGTCCGGCCTGGGTTCGACATGGTTGCGATCATCGGCGAGAAGATGAGCGGCTGGCTCAAGCAATTCTACTGGGGAGCTGGGCGAGTCTTCCGAGCGCTAACCACTCGTCGTCACCCTTTTGTTGTGGTGCCTCTTCGTCTTGTCAACCCTTGCTCTTGTTTGTTAGATTTTCATGGCACCTTGAGCGCAGCTTGTTAGAAAGGGTACCTTACTTTGGACTCCTTATAACAAGGATCCTACTATTTGGGGTACTATATTAGGGTCCCCTGTTTTCAGAAACCCCCATGTAGTGGTGGTGGTGGTTGGGTTTTTAAGTTCTATAAGATTGTATCCCTTTTGGTAGCTTAAATATCGTGCGTGGCACGCCAAAGGTGCCATGAACGTGTGCGATGAAGCAGTACCAACATGCAGCAAAGCATGACAAAGGGGTCTTGTCTGACTTAGTTGTTCTTTTTTTTGTCACTTCCTCGTTTTCCTCAGGTTGATTTCAATGTCACCGTGCACATCATCCTGTCATGATGGACTGGGTTCCTTTTTAAGTATCTAAGGTAGAACCCATGGGCCCCTAGTATGGGCCCTTAACCCTGGGACCCTAATATAATATACCTACTATATACCCTATGTGGGTGGTTGTCAAAATTATGGTGGTCCCTTTTTGGGTCCTTATTATAATACGGCACCTATTATTTAGGGTACCCCAAAAGGGACCCTAATTTTGACAACTACCTATATACCCTATATATACCCTTAAGCCTGCTTAGGTCGCGCCCGTGCACAGCTTGCCTTGATGAGCCGCATGTGGAAGGCAAGCTCAGTGCAATGTGGGAGTTTCCGAAAATAAGGGACCCTAATATGGCACCCCAAATAATAGGATCCCTATTATAAGGACCCCCAAAATAAGGTACCCTTTATTTTCGGAAACTCCCATGTCCTCCCGGCTTCAAGATTCAATCCACGAGCCCGACTTGACATATTTGAGCAGTGACTGCATCCACGGGTGCGGAGTTTCGGGCTGTTGATGCAAGCCGAGTGCATAGGGTGTGTATATACGCGTGGCAGAACCTCAGATGTGGATGCACGCACGTGCAGGTGGAGCACGCCGCTGGCTCAGCGGCTTTCGACGGGATATGGGGGTTTCCGAAAATAGGGGACCCTAATATAGTATTAAATAGTAGGATCCTTATTATAGGGACCCCAAAAGAAGGTACCCCTACTTTTCGGAAACTCCCCTCTCGCAAGCACAGAAGGATTCAGGCCAGGACAATCGTGTCACATGCGTATTCTCTTGCCAGCCAGGTCTTCGACTTCGGACGCCTATCCGCCCTCGAACTGAGCCCCTGGCTTGGGAGCACCTTGTAGTATGACGGGAGTCTGTATGTATGTCACCTGTATATATGTATGGATGTATGTATGCAAGTATGTATGTATAGATGTATACGTATACATGCTAATTTATGCATATGTGTGTATAAACATCTATATATCTATATATATATATATCTATATATATATATATACACATATATATATATATGTCATATATTTGTATATCGATGTCAGTATCATATCATACCTGTATATATATACACACATACATCTATCTGAAAGCCTTTACCAGGCGAGGATGGCCACGACTGGGGAACCTACCGACGCTTCTTCAAGGCCAGCAAGAGGAGCTCGGAGACTTCCAGTGACGATCCGCTGCATCAGGAGAGTGATCACGGGGACTTCCTGTACCACCATTCATCTCTCATTGAGAAGGCCCCGTCGTTTCCTAGCTGTGGTAAGAGCTGCTCTGAACCAAAAATTCCCCCAGGTGGTGTCCAAAGCAAGCGGTACTGCTGTGGCCGTTCTTAATTGCATGGTCGCGGCCTCGACATACTCAGAACACCAAAAGCAACACCGCGAATGAGAGCTACTACTTCGGCACGGGTGCCGCTATGCTAACCAAGGTCAATCATAGTCCTGTTCAATCGTGGCAGTAGTAAGTGAACTGCCCAGTACAGAAGCAACAGTCGCAGTCCGTAGTGCTGGCAGAAGGAATAGACTAATGCTCGCATCAGTTGTAGTGTAGCAGTATCGTTTCAGTAGCAACAGCAGCAGCAGCAGTGGCAGTATCAGCAGCTGAAGCAGTAGCAGCAGCAGCAGCAGTAGCAGTAGCAGTAAGTAGCAGTGGCAGAGGCAGGGGCAGTAGCAGTAGCAGCAGCAGGAGTAGTAGTAGTCGTGGTGGTGTTGGTGGTGGTGGTGCTGGTGGTGGTGGTGGTGCAGCAGGAGAAGGAGTAGTTAGTAGTAGTAGAAGCAGTAGTCTCTGGAGCAGAGGAATGCAATATATCTTTTCTAGCAGTCTGGCATGTAGCAGTAGGGGACAACGTAGGCAATTATCTGGTTTCTGATGCACTGATAGATAAGAGTACAAACCGAACGTGTTACAATAAAGCAAGGGATAAAACCGGGAGGTTAGCACATGGAGCAACAGTTCGGATTAACGCAATCAGTAGCAGAATTCGAGCCAAAAGGAACGAGCACATAGCACAACATAGCACAAATGCTGAGGTTACTTACTGTCAGCGATCATGGTAGCCATTAACTGCACGAGAGAATCGGAAGATCTTTCTCAGGTGATGTGCACTGGCGCTCGATGGGCAGAATCCCCAGATCAGCGTTTGGTGCATTCAACAACTTGAGGCTTAGAGTTTAGGGATGCAGACCGCGACACCAAGGAACGCAGCTGTGCGGCTGGAATGCTAGAGGTTCTCGATCTTATGTGCAGCATTCGTAAACAGTACCTATAGTCTCCATTGTAGTTCCTTTTGGGGGATACCTTATTATAAAATCCTTAATATATAATTGGTTAAACCAAAAAAAGAGCTACAATGGAGACTGTAGGTAGTTGTCGACTTTCCGAGAATTTCCGGACATCCAACGCCAGGACCTCCAGAAGGCTCACGCGAACAACGCCGAGATACTTCGGGAGGCACGCTTGGCATGCGTGTTAGGGTGCCAAGTAGGAGTCTGAGGGGAAGTATACTTCTATGAGCCGGGCAATCATGAGTTGCGTAGGGTTTAGGGAGTTTAGGATTCAGGGGGCAGGGTTTCCCAGATGAGGGCTTCGGAGGGTTCTGTTGGTGCTTGTCTCCAAGCACTCCAACATCTGAAAACTCCTCGCCTCTGTCGGTGGCCTCTTCGATCCTGTGTTATGGACCTGAATCGATGTTCCAAGGCTTAGGAAGCTGTGCTCCACCGTGGCTTGGTGGACGGGCTTAGTTCCGGGAATCGCGGTGACAACATCAAGATTTCCTGCAGGCTTAGTAAACCCCGGCTACGTAGTCCTTTCAACATAAAGATGTCGTTCAGGCACTATACTGCTGTACCCCAGGAAAGTCTAACAGGACCGCAGGGTTCTCCTGTCCGTCCAGGACAGACAGTGCAGTCTTCGGCTGCGCGTGGTGCGTGCCACAGATTTGAAAATGGCACACTGCACTATGCAAACCTCAACCGGGACTTGTGGGTTGGACCCAGTCTTGTTGACATGCATGTTGTTGGTAACGTCCCTGCACTTCCAGGGTCGGCAAAGCATCCTCCACGTGCTTCACCGGAGGCGCATTGACTGAGCCGGTTCAGGTTTTGCGATTGACGATCTTCGAGTTGCGGCAAAGATCTTCGCTCTCGCTCGCTCGCTCATTCTTATTCTTTCGTTGTCTACGTCCACGTAGCAAGAAAAGCGGAGAAACGCATGCAAAAGTAACAAAGGGGAGATGAGCAAATCGAGCAATGGCTAAATCTACACATGAATCAATCCCTATACACCTGAGCCCCACCTCACAAAATGCAGGATGGAGATGCGCTGAAGCGGGGCACGGGGACTGCCTGTGCTCCTTCCCCCTAGCAAAGCAAAGAGGGAAAGAGAGACAGACCGTGCCTCCCCACCACAGCCCTGACCAAATAGAGACCTTGGGGGGCACCATGGATGTGGAGAACTGTAGCACAACCGAGCGGAGCAGAGGGGTCGGAAGGGTCAAATTGGGGACCCGCTTAGCATGATGTATTCCGTGCAATTGTGTTGCTACATGCTACGACTTACTCTCCTCCTTTCGCCGGGGCAGGAGGCCTAGCCTAATTTTCGCCGCTCGTTCCGCTCTAAAAAGGGGTGCGCTTAAGTGCAGGCCCGCAGAAAGCTCGCTCCCCACCTGTCGGGGGCGCTAACGCGCGCGGGCGAGGGGGGCTTAATCTTCCTTGACCCTAGCCCTGACGAAAGAAAGTCAGCCCTGGCGAAAGAAAGAGTGAGGGAGAGGGAGCCCCTACCACAGCCGTGGCGAAAGAAGAGGGAGGACCAGATCCTCGCAATATAGCAGCGTTTGCTGGATGTCACGCAGGCCTGGGGAGATTCTGCCGGAGGAGGAGGAGTTCAAGGCACAGCGGAGAGTCGTTCAACTGCAACTCCAAATCATAAGCCCTAGAGCCTGAACCTTAAACTTCAAGCCTCAAAGCCAAGCCCGGGGTGTTCGACTTCCTCTCCTCATCCGTTTGAGGTACGTTCCAACCCTGGAGATGTTAGTGGCATGCTATATACGCATCTTCAAGTTCCATTTATGCATAAGCTGAGAACAAAGCGCCGGAAAGCAAGCCACCAACAACGAAATCTGACGCAGGTTCTCATCTTGCGCAGCCAGGGAAGCAAGGACTCGGGTATCCGTGGAATACGCCCTCGAACCCGCATGGCGCACCGTCAAATGTCAGCCTGCCAGGAAGCGCAGAGGGAAGCGATAGCCTACAAAGCTGAAAGCTTGGATTTCGAGCCGTCTTCATATTCGCTTCTGCACCTGCCTATCTGACTTGCCCATGTTCGGTCAGGCCGGGTCGCCAGTAGAAGTTCTTCATAACGGGAGGCCGTCCCACAGATCTGCTGTAGCCGGGAATGGCATGGCTGGCGTTGGTTTTTGACGGTTGCGGTTTCAGAAAATCACGGACCCAAATTCAGAGGCAAGTGTCGGGATCAACATGTTTAGGACCCTAAGTCAGGCACATCTATTTTTTGAAGCCTCCATGGAGGTGGACCGAAGCGACTGTGGCCGAGAAGGATCAAGAGGAGGAGTTCTGACAGACATGGGATTACCCACAGCGGTTCAAACAATCAAGTTCAATGCTGCTAATCTTAATGAAAGCATCGGCAACCATTTTGTGACACATGTTCGTCAAAAATTAGTTCTGACAGGTATATGGTGCTCAAAGCACCGCTAGAACAGCTACCGAGGACAACATTCATCAATTCATCAATTATGCAGCAGATACCAAATTTGTGCATGCGGTGATGGTGGCGATGTTGTTGATGACGTGAACGAGGGAGATGATAGCAATGCTGCGTGTTATGCAACAGCAGAGTGTTGCAATGATATCGTACGTACTGGAAGTAGCCATCGCAATTGAAGAAGCGGCATCTTTGTCCTTGGCGGCTGTCGCATTCCTAAGCTTGTTTGTGGTATGCTTTTTCGGCCATCTCTTGTTACACAGTGCAGTCCTAGTACTGTGCTTGTTATTCATCCCCTTTTTTTCTTCATCATCTCCATCATCGTCGTCATCATCGTCATCGCCATCGCCATCGCCATCGCCATCGCCATCGCCATCGCCATCGCCATCGCCATCATCATCGTAATCATCATCGGCATCATCATCATCTTCTTCTTCATCATCATCATCACCAACAGCATCATCATCATCATCGTCGTCGTCATCATCATCATTACCGTCACCATCACCATCACCACCACCTCCACCATCATCATCATCATCACCATCGTCGTCACCATCCTCATCGTCATCGCCATCGCCATCGCCATCGCCATCGCCATCGCCATCGTCATCGTCGTCATCATCATCACCGCCACCATCATCATGTTCGTCGTCGTCAGCCCATCATCACCGCCGTCGCCAGCATCATCACCCGCCATCGCCATATCATCACCGATTGTGCTCATAAGGCTTAGGAACACGACACGCATCAGACCAACATTTGAAGCCTTGTTAGACCAAATTCTCTTGATGTGGACGCTGCTTTATGTCTAAAGTCGGCACAGGATCCGTCAAAGGTCAAGATCAGATGGCCAGACACATCCGTCGATGAGTACGAGCCAGATCAGGTCGGTGACCTTGTCTTAGAGGGGGTCGCAGTGTTAGGCATTTTCAAAGGGCTTCGGGCGCTTCGATCGCAACTTGAGTTTGTTTCGGTCGTTTTTCGGAGTTGAAGTGATCCCCGTGCGGCTTCGGATCCAATCGCGTGCTCCATCCTTCAGTAGGCATTCGGAGCCAGAGTTGGATGACATCTGGGCTCCCTTATGAGGGATACCTGCCCGAGCTACCGAGATACTATGTTGCGCTGCTGCTGCAGGGTTTTGCGCCTGTATATACTATGATATACCACAAACATGGCATAACCTAGTATTAACCCCTAAACCCTAAACCCTAAACCCTAGTATTAACATACGCTACTAGAATGTAGCGTAATGCAAGTGGCTTCGAGGTCCGATTCCTGCCAGTGGACGAGGTTCTCGTGATCTATGCAGCCGAGCCTTGGAGGTGCAGATTCAGGGTTTAGGGTTTAGGGTTTAGGGGTTTACGGTTTAGGGTTTAGGGTTGGGTTTAAGGGTTTAGGGTTTAGGGTTTAGCGTTTAGGGTTTGTAAGGTTGAGGGGGTTTCAGGGTTAGGGATTAGGGTTCAGGATTGTAGGGGTTAGGGTCTTCAGGAGATTCATGCAGCCACCTGAGGTATTCAAAGTTCACTAGGCGCCACGGGGCTCTAAACCCTATTGTAGTAGATTGTAGTAGGTGATGGTATGATATAGCATGATATAGCATATTCTGTTATCTGATTAAACCCCTCACCGAAAGCCTAGATGGCAAAGGAATCCTGCCACAAACACCGCTGCCGCCTTGTCTGGCGGGCCACTCCGGCTCAAAAGCTTCGGTTCTTATAAGGCAGAAACCCTTCTTGCACCTTACCCTGCTCAGTAGTATGAATGTTAGCCTTTAATGTGCAGTAGTAGCCTAGCTGTGCCTTATAGCTTCTCGTACTCGTAGTCACTTAAAGTAGCTCCTATGGTAGCTTATAGACTCGGCTTTACGAAGGCGACAGTGTGCGGCTCTCCGCTTTTTGGCTAGAGGAGCCGATGCGACCGGCTGCTGCCTCGGCATACGGTTGATGTCAAATAAATCCTGCATTACCCCAAAATACCATAGTTCCCATACTTCAGGGTCCTTAAGCTAAGGCAGGAGTTATATTACCCAAAATACCAACAACTCCCATCCTTTAGGGTCCTTAAGGCAGGAGGTATATCATCAACAGTATTTCTGGTCTTTCTCCGTCGCTGGTTAACGCATGTCGTCTTGCCATTGGCGTAGATGAGGTGATGGTGGCACCAGAGCCTTGCGGGACCCGAGCTGAAGAGTGTAGCTGGTATTGTTAAATGGGAGTTTCCGAAAATTAGGGGTACCTTATTTTGGGGTCCTTATAATGAAGATCCTATTATTTAGGGTGCTATATTGGGGTCCCCTATTTTCGGAAACCCCCATATTAAATGTCGGGGGTTTTGGGACAAGCACCACGCGCCCCCACCCTCTGTGGAGGACATTGCCAAAATCAAGGTCGTCAACAAGGAACGTTCCGGCCTGAGCTGTGCTGCAGCCTCCTCTCATCAGTGTCGACTTTGTACTTCCCATGCCGGCCTTGCGGCCTTGCAGGTTTGCAAACCGAAGAGTTGGAACAAGAAAAGGGGAGCTCTGACATTCTCAAGAAGGTCTCGCATAGCATCTCGACCTCCGCGCAGAAAAAATGATGCATCTGATTCCTCTGCCAGGTCAGCAAGCGAATCGCCCGTGCATCGCAATGCGGAGTTGAGGCCGCGCTGTCTTCAACGCACCACATGGGTACATCTTGTGCAATCCGCATCGTCGTCTGCTTTGTCAATGCATCTCCCGAGGCCGTTGCCGACTGCGTGGTGCTGTGTTCCGCTTAGTTTCCGGTGGAGGGAAGTGTGCTTTGTGGCATCTTCCAACTTTCTGAGCTGCAGATTCCTTTCCTGGTGCAAGAGGCTTGTAGTCGTTCTTTGGAAGGGAGAAACCACACTCAGCCTGTTGCAGTTGTCTGGTTTCTCTGCACAAGCAACTTGGTTGCCTTGCCCCCTGCCCAGAGAATCTCAAGGTCGCAAGAGTTTCAATCTTCAAGACATAATAAACGGATGTTTAATGCCATCTTCAAGCTTCAGACAGCCCAAAACCGGCACTCGCTGCTTGAACATGCCGCGCTTCATGTGCCACCCGACTCCCAAGGCACGGAGATCATGATGCGCGCAGCAGCGCCAAGCCAGGGGCCTTTCCTGTCTCTGCTGCTCCCAAGGTTTTCTTTAGGTATCCCCCCATAAAGGAACTATAGTACCATTAGGAGAACCAAAAAGGAACTACAATACCCTTAGGGCCTTAGGGGAACCCTAAGCGTACAACTATAGACATCCCCGAAGCCCTAAATCCCTAAACCCCTAAACCCCAAACCCTAAAACCCTAAAACCCTAAACCCTAGACTCACGGCATAAGCCGCCCACGCCCACCGACCCCCTAAACCCCAAACCTGAGTCCCTGAGCACCTTTGCCTGGGCAGGAGCCCCCCCAAGGAGGGACTTTCAGAGGGGCCCATGAAAGGTTTTAGCGAGCAGAATTCAGGGCTCAGGCCAGCCCTTCCCTGCCCTACCCTGCTCCTGCCTCCCTGCTGTGGATTTTGTCTTGAAGGAAGGAAAACTGGCATGAGTGTAGGCCTAAACGCGAAAAGGAATAGGTTTGGGTGGTTTGGCCTCCTTGGACGGCGAGAGGTGGGAGGGAAAGAGGGAAAGCCTGCTAGAGACAGGCTGTGACAGCTCATCGCCACAATACGATGCACTCGACACAACCTTGTCGCAAGATATAGCCGCCTACGCGCCATTCCACGGCAAACCCTAAACCCTAAACCCTAAACCCCTAAGCCCTAAACCCCTAAACCCATCTAAACCCTAAACCCTAAACCCCGAAGCCCTAAACCCCTAAGCCCTAAACCCCTAAACCCATCTAAACCCTAAACCCTAACCCCGAAGCCCTAAACCCCTAAAGCCTAAACCCCAAAGTTGCGCCGTTGCCTCGCCGTGAGTTCGCGGTGCTACGTCCGAGGCTCCTCCTGGGCTGGGCGATGCGACAACGGGGCGACCCCCTGGCCCAGGCCGTTCTTGATATTTGGCGTTTAGGGGTTTAGGGGTTTAGGGTTTTAAGGGTTTTTAGGGGTTTAGGGTTTGAGGGGTTTTAGGGGTTTAGGGTTTGAGGGTTTTGGGGGTTTAGGGTTTCTTGTTGCTGTGAAGCTGATTATGGCAGTGGGATATTGCAGGACTTTTGTCTGTGAGTGCCTTTTGACAAATGCTGCTTGCGAGTTGACCAAGCCTGCGGATGACATTGGCATGCTGGAAGTGGGAGAAAGTGAGGTGAAGGCCGCACTTCGTTCAGAGTTCTCTCGGACTCTGTCACTAGCACTTTCCTGAGACTTTGCCCGTGCTTGTGGACCAGGCACTGACAGAGGAGATTGTGGAGGAGGTTGAAAAGCAGGCGATGCGATCTGCATGAGGCCATGTGTGTCATGTCGCGATCCCGACTTTTGACACGTGCGAGGCGAACGTGTATCTTTTCGTGAGAGATGATGTTAGCCAGCCAGGGCCCCATGCAGTGCTTGGGCGAATGGATGCTGAGGGGAGGGTTGGGGAGGAGTGGGGGGTTGCAAAGCTGCGAATCCTCCCCGACCCGAAGGCTTTCGAAGCTTCACCTGACACTCGCCCTACACCCCCCAAGAGAAAGTCTATGAACTGAAGGCTCAAAGTCCTGAACCCGGAACCCTCAACACTGATTTTGACCTAGATATGTGTCTACCATGTATAATAATTTGATATAATATCTTGACTGCTGAGATAGCCGCCTGTCGTTTCAGAGCAGTTGATCAGGCAGCAGTACAAGTACGGCGACAAGAGTCTGATCCAGACCAGAAAGATTTTCCTATTATGTTTTTCATTGGCACTAGTTATCAATCACGATGTGACGTTGGCTTCGCGTAGTGTAAGCAACTATAGAAGCATTGTGCAGTAGTGAGAGTAGTGCTGGTTTTCCTCGTCGTCGTCGAGGTCGTAGTAGCAGTGGCTGCAGTATCGAAGCGTGGGAGCAGTAGCAGTGGCAGTAGCGGTAGTTAGTAGTAGTAGTAGTAGTAGTAGTAGTAGTAGCAGTAGTAGTAGTAGTAGTAGTAGCAGCAGCAGCAGCAGCAGCAGCAGCAGTAGTAGTTGTAGTAGTAGTGGTCTTAGTGGTCTTAGTGGTAGTAGTAGTTAGTAGTAGTAGTAGTAGTAGTAGTAGTAGTAGTAGTAGTAGTAGTAGTAGTAGTAGGTAGTAGTAGGAGTAGTAGTAGTTATAGCAGTATCAGCAGTAGTAGTAGTAGCAGGAGGAGGAGGAGCAGCAGCAGCAGTAGCAGGAGCCGGAGCAGGAGGAGGAGGAGGAGCAGCAGCAGCAGTAGCAGGAGCCGGGAGAGGAGGAGGAGGAGGAGGAGGAGCAGCAGCAGCAGCAGTAGCAGGAGCCGGAGCAGGAGCAGCAGCAGCAGCAGCAGCAGCAATAGCAGTAGCACTAGCAGTAGCAGAAGCA